TATCTACTTTCTTCGATCTCATCTATTATAATTTCATCTTTTCCCAAATTAAAACAAAATATGAGAATACCGATGGGCAACAAACAATATCATGACAAGAAAATAGCATTTTGATGCCATTATTGGTCCAGCACTCTGCCCTCTGCCTGCTTGAAGGCAAGGTGCTACAAACACATCTTCCAGGAGGTGCCCGAGAATTGCAAGCCGCTTCAGGACTATGGCGGTTAGGTGGCCTCATAGATTTTGCTTTTTTCTCCAAAGAGATCTGCTTATTTCAGTATAGGCGTTATCCCCCAAACTTGTCATCCAAGGTGAAAGCTCATTAACTTCTAGCTCCCCTGCAACCAGGGTAAAATCCAGGCTACATTATTTGTTCTTCCTGCCCCTTAAACCCACCCTTCTCACGGATTCTCCGTTCGGAGCAGGAAGCCGATGTAAACCACTTCCTTTTGACATTTTCCTGTCACAGGAAGGACGGCTTTGAACATCCCAGGGAACTGGGCCATTTCATGTCTGAGTTTCTTACCCACACTCTGTCCTTTTTACCCTCCGAAGCTGTGAGGTGTCCTATTTTAAATCAAAACTGTCAAGTTGGAATAACTACATAACGCTTGGATGAAATCCATGTTGTTGGCAAAACTCGAGAAAATAAAGAGAAAGGACGATTTCAGCTCTCGGGGACATCTCTCCTGCCTGCATAGACTCGGCACTCTTTCATGCTGAGTTTCAGACACACTTCCAAACAGAATTGGGCAAGGGGGGGGATTTCGAAACTCAGATAAATGCTCCCCGTGATGGAGACAAAAGAGGCAACAATGCTGATTTCTAGGTAATAGGTAACAGAAAAATCATTCGCGCGTCAATTTTTAACAGTCAAAGCAAACTTACCGTCGTTTCTCCAGATTCTCCAGAAACACTTCTCTGTGAAAAGAAGTCAGATAATGATTCTTCAGAAGTGTGTCACTTATTACCTTGAGGGCAAAAACTGCTTCCTCTCGGTCAAAAAACAGATGTTTTTTCAGTCCTGAGCTGTTACATTCACTGGTGCCGAGACATAAACACCCAAAGTTCTACGATACGATTTTCCCACTGTCGTGTTTGTCCCAACAAATTTCTCAGCTACTTTTTTGTTACACGTACATCATTTTTGATGTGAGAAAATACATGTTTTTAAATGCTCACATTCGACCCAACTCATGGTGAGTGGCACATACCGCCTTCATCCTGTCTGTATGACGGATTTTTTTACCTAGTCGAGTGGGAATACGTGTCTGCCTCCCCCCTTAGACTGAACTACACGAGAGCAGGGACTTCGATGTGTCTCCTCCTCGGTGTGGCAGGCACGGTGACGGGCACGCAGACCGCGACGGTAGGGAATTATCCCCACGAAGGACTGGGCATGGCAAGCTGAGCGGCCCTAGAGTGATGGGTGAACGTTGAATGCCTGATGGATTTTAAAATTCCAAGCGAGGTGTTGGAGATAAGCTTAACTTGCCTGATTTGGGGTGAACCGAGGTTTCGGGGTGAGCTATGTGATATAGCGAGGTCGACGGCTGCCTCTCTTTAGATATTTGAGTGCAGTTCTCAGTGACTAAGTTTTCACCCTCGTGACTAGATGACACGAGGGCTTGTCTATCGGGTTTTAATATTATCTGTCTGCAAACGAAACAAAACAAAACAAAAAAACCAAAACCAAAACCAAAAAAAACCCCTGGACTTTTAGAAAGTCAAAAATTCATGCCCATGTTGAATAAGTCATGGGTCGGCTTAGCGCTGCCTCCATAAACACCTCTCTCCTCATCTTGTCGGCTCTGGGCGGGGGAGAGGCCAAACCCTCCCCGACCTCCTGGAGAAGTCGCCCCCACGAATGGGAGGGTTTGGTCTTTGCTACAGCGGGTGCCGGCCTCCAGGGTGTGGCCTCCGGTGCAGCCAGTTCCCCCATCTTATGGTCTCTGAGCTACTCCCCAAGATGGCAGTGACTGGGGGAGGGAGGATGTGTGGCAGCCACGAGACGTGCCTGCCATGTGGGAATAAGAAATACCCTCCTGTCGAGGAAATGCTTCCTTATAAGGTGGTAAAAATCTTCCTATCATCTTAAGATTTGAAGAAAACACATGGCTGTATATCTTTTAGGAGTCTCTGGTGACCCTTATGGTTTGGGGGCCCACGGACAGCTGTACAGAGCTCTCCCTTGATTTCACCTTGACAGTGCTTCTGCCCGGTATAAAACCTTTGGACTCTTCTCGCTGAAAAACGAGCTCTTGAGAAAATCTGGCGGAAAGCACTTTAATCTCCTGACTTCTTCAATTGTGGTCTTTTTTCACTTATTTTTCCTTTTTTGAACTTAAGACTTACTGTACCTGATGCCTCCGGTTCTCAGGCATAAATCGAAATTGGCCTGGGGACAGTTCCGAGAGATCTTCATATTCTGCAAACTTGAAAAAGAATTTAAGGTGTTTATTTCTATTAATAAAAAAGATCGAGAGCAAAAGAGGCAGCTGACGACAGGCATAAGGGTATTCGTTACGTTATTTTATCTTATTTCCTATATCACTGGGCAATGTCATATTTTTCCACAATGATTTCTTTAATATGGTTATGTTTGCTAATTATCGACTGGAAAGAATTAATGTCTGAGTTGGCCAGAAGTCGAGGGGACACGAGGCAGGGGTCACAGTAACCCAGTGACTCGGCGGGTGGGTGCCTGGTGGAGCGATGGCGTAGACCTTGGATAAATGTGAACCGTGACCCATTGGATTAAAAATGTCAATGTGAAAGGAATCCCTGGAAGTGACTGGAAAAGCGCAAACTCCTTTGGATGTCTTGGCTTCGGTTCCCGGCTCTGTCCATGAGATTCCCAGCACACCACGGCGGTTCGTAAAGTATTGGAAAATACAGTTTCTAAGCAGACAGAGTGATTTTCTTTCCTGCAAATAGGTCCTCTTGGCCTTTGCCATTTTTGTAGATAACCTGCTCTGCATCTCCTTCTCCTAGGCTAGTCCCACAATGCACGTTCCGCCCCCCGCCCCCGGCATCAAAATAGCTCTTGCGTGACTTTCAAAATGGCTCAGAGCAAGACTTTGCCTGTGTGGGGATGGCCAGGGGCCAAAAGCGGAGACCTCGAGGTCTGTGGACAAGTCCTGCCCTCTGCCAGCCCACTCGCCATCTTCCCCTTAATAGGAACATCTAAAGTGTCCTTATTACTGAAATCAGTGTCCACTTAGGCGTGAAAAACAACAGTGCTTTGGCGATGCATTTTCTCACACTCTTTGCACAGAGCGATCGTGCTGTGTCTTTATCATCGTCATTGTCCTCGTCACAGCTAACGATTACTAGGTGCCTCCGAGTGCAGCTAACGATTACTGTGTGCCTCCGAGTGCAGCTAACGATTACTGGGTGCCTCCGAGTGCAGCTAACGATTACTGGGTGCCTCTGAGTGCTTGCCCTGCGCTTGGTAACTTAACACGTGTCATTTAATTCTCAAACACCTTTTGGGTTAGGCCAGTTATTATCCCCATTTCTTAGATAAGAAGTGAGCACCATCTCCATAAATGGGACAGGACCGGGCCAGCCCACTGAACTTGGCTTTATCGCATGCAAAAGCGTGAATGCTTTGAAAAGTATATTCACATTCCCAGAATTATAACCATGAGCACGTCTACGCAGACGGGTTCGATCATAAATCTCCTCCCCACACAGAGCACAGTCCTCCAATAGCTCGGGGAATGGGCTGGTTCCTGAGCGTGTACGTATCGGCCAGCGGCAAGGAAGCTTCTGGAAGTACTTACCTCTGGAAGTCCGTTGGTGGGGATTTCGAAGCCTCGAGCTTCGGAGGAAAAGAGCCAGATAAGGAGGCACGGGAGCCATTTCATTTTGCAGGGCGCGGGGTCTGGGGAGAATCCGCTCCTCGCTGACCCAAGTCCAAAGGGACGGCGGAGGAGTGCAGTCTGTCTTTAAAAAGTGGGCGAAAAACAAGAGGAAGAAAGCTCTCAAACTTTGTGCAGAAACGGAACAAATATTTGTTCTGGAGATCAGACGTGAGCCGAGGGGTGGGCCGGACGCCCAGAGGTTATTCAAACAGCAGAGCCGGGGGCAGCCGCGGTGTGAGGACTCGGCAGATCGGGGACTCGGCAGGTCGGGGACACGGCAGGTCGGGGACTCGGCGGGGTCCGGTGGGCCTGCCGCCACTGCTGCTTTTCTCCCGTTTCTCTTGGTTTGCTGATCTGTGTTCATCCTAAAATCAGAGAGGCCCAAAGATAAGCACCATCCTCTTTGAAGGACCACGTGAGGGAACCACGGTGAGAAATAGAAACGAGACCCTTCGATTTTAAATGAAAGCAGGGGGAATTTAGCCAAAGGGGGAGGAGAAAGCCGTGGTGTTCTGAGCGACGCCTGTCTCATCAGGGTTTCCCCTCTCTTGGGTAACGGGGTGCCCGTTCCGTGTGATGAACTGGGCAGGCGGCTGTGCGGGAGGCCAGGGCAGGCTCTGTAGTGAGCATGCGACACGGGGGCCTTTGGGTAAGAAAACAGTGGCCAGCCATTCCCGCTGCCCCGATCAGCCTCTGCCAGGTCAAGGTCAGCCTGACCCACAGGCTCTGCTCTTCATGACTGCGCCTGAGGGAGGCACCTAGCCGTCTACCACCCGGATCCGATGTCCCAGGTATGAATTCAGACCAGAGTTTACCTGTACACCCCACGCTAGGCGGCCAGTCTATTTGACAAGCCCTGTTCTTGAGCCTCTACTCCAGACACCTGCTTGAACGAGGGCCGTGCTCTGGACCCCAGTTTGGCCAGTGGGGGAACTCACAGGTCGTGGGCTTGTCACCAGGAACCACTGCTGCCCAAAGGTCCACTCACACGGGGGCTTCATCCCCATGGACACGGGAAGTCGGCTGTGGCTTCTGAAGCCTGATGACGTGGGACTGTCCCACCAAGATGAGCGGGGCCATTGTCCGAGTTCGCGTTCCGATTTTTTTTTGCAGGGAAATGGTTTTTAAAGTTTATTTCAAAAGCAAAGCGATGAGACCAGAAAACAGTGCCCCCAAAAGAGAAATTTATGGATTGAAATATGCAGGATGGGATTTTAAAAACTATGATTTTGTTTGTTATAGCCAAGCACACACCAAACAATTGGGAGTGTTGGTTCAGATGTAAAATGCTACATGAAAGTAGCATTTAAAGTAGAAGTAGAAAATAACATGAAAGAAGTATTTTTTAAACTAGTTGTATCGAAAGCACATAGGAAGTTGAAGATTTATAACAATAAATATCTTAAACTCTGGCCAAGTAAAGGTAGGTATGAATAGAAATACCAATAGTTAAAACTGATCGCTGAATTAGCGAATTAATCCATTAGCTAAGTTAACATATACATTTTATAAAATATTGATGTTAGTGTCCTCATAGAAGAATTTATAGAACCTGGAAATTCTAGAGGATGAAAAGTCAATAAAAGCCCAAAACAAACAAACAAACAAAAACACTCTGGTTATTAAACAATAAGGCTTATGCCAAGTTCTTTAGATTCTAAAAATATATATCCAAGCACAAATTAAAATATATGGGTTGAGGCTTAAAAATATAGGCACTAATCAATGGAATAAAATAATGAGTCCAAAAATACATCTTACACAGACTATATCGCTGATCTAAAGCAGCAGCACAACGGGGAATGACTTTGGTCCTGAGTGGAAGAGTACTGGACGGTCAGACAGCGGTGTGGGGAGGAACTATCTTCTGCCCGTCTCCTCCCTCCCCTGTCTGGGACTGCCCCGGGGAGCGGCCAGCCGCGAGGGTCCCTCCGCCCAGCCCTCATGGAAAAATCCCATCCTGGCTTTGCATTATCTGCTGAGATAAGGCCTCTGAGCCACCATGGCATGTTTTTCAAAAATAATGACGATTCCCAACATGGTGTCCACGTCAGTGGATCACGTCATCTCTTCAGAGTGGTCTCAGAACCCGCAGATGAGGGCAGCCTGGGTCCATCCTCCCTTTTCGTGCAGAGGGCCCGTCTGCAGATGTCAAGGTCTTGGACCAGACAGGTGTTTGCTCTCTCGATGTTCAGAAGCTCCGTGGCTCCCACCAGGGTGGGTGTGCATGCCAGGTGCATGCAGGTCGCCGGGTTCCCAGCCTGGGCACCCCCCACCCACCTCGGCTCCGGGCAGCTGTAATGCGGTGAATCGGAAGTACCGATTCTGATTCACAGGATGGGAATCGCTCCCGCAAATGCCACAAGAATATTCACTTTTATATATTTGAAAATCAGAGGGAAAAAAGTCACTATATTTCATCCTGTTCAAGTAAAGTGATAACTCGTTGAGTCGTCGATGAAGCTTCTAAGGAGCAGCAGTGACCCCGAGGTTCCCGACTCCGGGTGCACGCCGCTGTGGCCTGGGAGTCGGTGTCACCACAGCCCTCGCCCGCTTTACACCGTGCAGGCCCAGGCTTATCACTGTGAAAGTGTTCGAAAAGCCCAAGCCGAAGGCGAACTAACGCACAGACAGCTCCGTCTGGTTCCAGCTCCTTGTTCGTTGGTTCAGATGAGACAGAACATGCAGAGTCTCCACGCGTTTGAACTCCGACGGCTTCTCACAGTGAAGGGCAGGCATTTTGCGTTAGGTTTCTCAAGGATTAGCTGTTTCAGTTTCTCAAGATGCTATTCTACTATCTCACATTTTTGTCTTCTGTCTTAGGCACAGCTGCGGGTTAATATAATGTGGAGCCAGAACATAAAGACGTTTCAAAAGAAAAATGTAAGAAATTGGGTAGATATACCGCGAGCCAATATACGACATTAGACAGTGTGGGGCATAAAACGACAAAATTTTGCTTGGTTCTTGGACATGCTTCCTCCCCATTGTCCTCACTCAGAGGCTCAGGAGGACAGGGGCACGGGAGCGGGGTGGACAATGGGGAGGAGCGCACGGGTTCAAAGCTTCTCCCTGGAGGTGGCGCTTGTCCTTTTCATTCCTAGTTCAGTGGCCAGAGCGCGGCCCGTGGCTATGCTTAATTTCAAGAGGCAGGAAATTGCAATCTTCTCCTGTCTGGAAAAAGAAGGAACTTGGGTTTGGGGTAGAATCGTGTCTGCTGATGGAGGGAAACTGGAGGTGGGGTTGGGAGTTCAGCAGCGAGGGAGGCGGATGTCACCATAAGCGTTCACCCCCGAGTGTGTGTGGATCTCAGGTTGGCCCTTGGGCTTCCCACCAAGCACAGGGCAGGCCGTTCACATAGCGGCAGAGGCAGCCGCTGGCCAGGGGTGCTGCAGTCCACAGCCCCACTTCCCTCGGACCTGGCACCCTCTCCTGTGGGCCAGAAACTCGTGATCATATGGTGGAGAAAATAAGTCTTTAGGGTCAACTGCTCAGCAGAGTGGTCACATCTGGGAAACACGGTGGTGGTTGGAGTGGGGGAGGAGGGGAGGAAACTGTGCAGAACCAGGAAGATGGGTGACTATCTGGGGGAGCCGGGAAGAATGGCTTTAGGGCGGCTGCTGACTGCGAGGAGGGAGAGAGGCCATTTTTTGCACTTTCTTTCTTTCTGTTGGTTCCTAAGTCTGTCCCTGGCTTTTATGATCTCTGAGCTCTGAGAAATTCACTTGACAGGTTTTTCATAATGTATCCCCACTAGATGGCGCAAGATGCCCGCTCATTTGGAGCTAGTTTGGAAGAACTTGAAAGTGAAATGTGGATCACACGGTTGGGGGCGTATGAACTGCTGTGTCATTCTGGAAGGATATATAACAAGCTTTACTGCAGCTCATTAAATAAGTATGCCCGAACATCGCTAGAGCCGGTTATGCGGTTTTCCTCTTCAAAACCGTATTTAAATCATCACGTTTTAAAACTATCGATGGATTCTGATGTATAATACATATAGGTAATGAATACACAAGATTCTCTTGTATTATGCAGAAACCATACTCATAAACCAGGACACGTGGGCATTTATTTACAGTAAACGTAACCAGCCAGTCACGTCACCAGCATACACTGTGCATCTTCTCTAAGCAAAGCATGTTATCAGACGTTCTGTGGTATACACACCTGTCTGGGGAGTGGTTAAGAGCAGTCTGGGGCGAGGGGTGCAGGTCTGAGTTTATACCTCAGTTTCTACTACTTACTGGCTATAACCTTGAAGAGTTACTCGGCTTGTTCGGAATTCTCATTAAGTGAAAAATAAATACCATATGAAGTTGGCCACTGTCCATTGGGTACTCCACCACAGGCAGACGAACACGCCCTGTCTGCTGGAATCAAATTTTCTTCAAAAAAATTCCTGTCGTGGAACATTTCAAAACATAAATAAAAGAAAAAAAAAACAAAAAACGAAAACCCCAGCATGAGTGCCCCTGAGGACTACTTTTCTCAGAAAACACACCTTTTCATGAATTACTAATTTTCTCCATGTTTTACTTGTAGTTGTTACAAGTTTGTAATTGCACGTTACCCTAAGTGTCTTTTCTCCAGTGCTTCTAGAGAATGTGGAAGTTTTTGTTTTTTTAAATAATTTTAAACATTGAGATGAAATCACACAAAACTAACCATTCTAAAGCGAACGGTCAGTGGCATTTAGTACATCCACAAGGTGGGACAACCATGGCTTCTAAGTAGCATGGGAAAGTTGAACAGAATTCAGAAGTAAGCGCCGGGTGCCCCCAGAGTTCCCAGCATGTGTGCTTCGTCCTGCCTCGGGCTGGGGAGGCCTCCGTGGGCTGGGCGGGTCTCTTTCTCACTCTGCACCCTTATCTTTCGCCAGGCATGCTCTCTGCAGAGGGAGGAGCGGTGACGGCCCAGAGAGACAAGGCTGGGCCACGGCATCGAGGTATTCAGGTAAATGTTATTCTAGATGTTTCCGTGAGGGTGTTTTTGGGTGA